TGAGAGTGTGTGTGTGTGTGAGCGTGTTCGAGCCGAGGGTCGCGGTCGCGTGGAGTAGAGCCGGTAGTTCTGGAGATTCGCAGCGCGAGGGTTGCGTTGCGCGAGATCACACGGGGTACGCATGCCGCGGGAGGGTCGCGTGCATGCGTGGCGTGAAGGAACGTCGCCGTAGAGTCGCGACGACCGAGGAAGTGCGAGCGGCTGAGTGAGTGTTTGCGATACCCCGTGCCGCTTCCGCCGTTGTCGGTGGCGGGTTTCGCGAGGACGGTGCGTCCGGAGCGGAATCCCCTGCCGACCAGCGCGGCCGGCGCGGCCGGGAGCGAGCGAAAGGCTCGCCGTAGTTAGCCGTCGGGGACTGCCCGGCGGAAGATTGCACGTCGTTGTGAGACGGGCCGATCCTTCGGCCCGAGTACCCAGTCTCGCGGGCGAAGCGCCCCGGCCGAGTGTTGCGTGTGCGACGGTATTCGTACCGTTCGCGAAAAAATTACTGTCGAATGCGTCCGTGTCGTCCGAGTAGGGTTTATCGCGTACGGCTAATCTCTGCCGTTGAGTTCGCGCCGGATTGTTCCGTGTCGCCGAGAGTATCGCGGCGAGTTGTTTCCCCCGATCTCGGGGCTGGTACCATTGTCGCCTGCGACGCCGCCCGTTATAGCGGCCGCTCAACCGGCTGGTTAACGCCGCCCTATATTAAACCCGATTTTATTATATTGCATTCTTGGAGTTTCTTTTCGTGTACGTCTCCCGTCGTGTGTCTCGTCCGTCGTGTGAATTTCTTAGGTCCCGTAGCCTCTGGAATCTTTTAGTGTCAACCACCGCCTCGCCCCTCTACCGTTAGGCGAGCTAGCCTGCCCGTGACGGGGGCCGCTCCATATCGTTCGTGCGATTTCGCGGATGTCGCGACTTGACGCGTGAGAGACCGCGTCTGGTGCCCAACCTTCGTCTATCACGTGGAGTTTTCGGCTCACGGCACGGTACGCGCGGAGCTACCGAGATCTTGGTCCTTTCCGGCGCGTTATTATCCCCCCTTGGTTTTTGACGACGACTCGATCCGTCCGCATCCCGCGCTTCTCGCGCCCGGCGACCGCACTCCCCGTCGTCGGCGCGCACCACCGTTGAAGATCTGCGTGCGACAGCGAGAGCGGGACGGTAACACCCGCCCGTCCGCGTAGAACGGGAGGACGGAAGACCAAAAGTAAAAGAGAAAAATCGTCGCAATACATAAAAGCCTTGGTAATAACAGATACGTGGTAAAAGATATACCTGGCTTTAATTTGACGCAGAAGCCGCTGGACACTATACTATCTTCTGACAAGTTAAAGCCATGGATTCGAATGCGACCACCGCCGGAACACGATCTTGAAAAGGGAAAAAGAAAGGAGGTTTATTAAATAGCGAGTTTATCAATTAAGTAGCGAATAATAATAATAAGATTAGCGTTGAAATTAGCTTCAGTTGGTGGCGGGCACACATGTAAAAACAGTAAATTTAAGTTTAGGTTAAGTAGGTTAAGTTGTTATACTCACCAATTACAGCTAATTACAGTTAAAACAGAACACTAGTCACGCGCACTGGAGACGTATCGGCGCGGGAGACAATCGCCTCGATACGGCCCTGGTGCTGGAGATTGACACATCTCCAGGACGTAGATGTAAGGCCAGGCTGGCCGAGTTGTAAGAGTATTCGCCGGGAGAGCGCGCCTGCTCCCGGGAATTAACGCTCGAGACAAACGCGCGAAAAGGCGAGCACGTGAACGCCGCGAGACGCCTCGTCAGGTGTTCACGTGTAAAGCCCGGATAAGCGCGAACCGAAGCTGAGCCGTGCCCGCGAAAAGCCCGGGACTCGCCTTTGTGAAGGGACCAGCGACGGTCGGTCCTGCGAGCAGTACGCGATAATTAGACCGGAGTATCCGAGTTCATACGGATAAAGCCGCGCAGTGTTAGTGGACCATTTGTAACTTTATTGGTACTTTAAATACAGTGCAGTTATAATCAACCAAGTGGTAAATTCAGTGCTTGCCTACCCACTCAAGTTTCCCCATCATCCTGACCTAATCCGGCTATCCATTGTATTTCAGGTCATAACTGCTTCCATCGAAAATTTGAACGTTTTTTTAATATTTTTCCCGCCGAATTCTTGAATTTTTTGCATCTAAACATACCAGTGAAACAATTAAATTATTGAAGAAACAATATATAAGCGCAATTTCAGAATATTAATACATATATTCGCACACTTATAAATTGATCTCGCACTTCATCGTTTTCTTTGAGATCACAATCGAATTGTAGTAGCGTGTTGATATCACTGAATGGCATCGGGGGAAGAAGAGGTTAATTGCGACGTTTGTATTCACTTGGGTTAGAATTTTGTGCTATTTCTAACAATTCGTTTAGTTTTTTTAAGACCACGGTTTCGAAATGTTTTTGCTCTTTTCTACAATCTGGAAAATAAATTAATAATTATCTATACAAGTTAATAACATTCGTGTAAAGTTAAAATTAGTTATTATATTAATAAATATCACACAAAGATAACAAGTAATGCCATGAATCTTATTTGCCAATTAATTAAAAAAACATTTTAATATAGACATACATATTATGTTTAACGTTAAAATAAAATCGCAACGGTAAGTATACAAATTATTGCTGTAATATACAACGCTCAATCTGTCCAGCACGAAAGAGATAATATTCTCAAGATACCTGAAGCTCTCAGAATCTGTAGGGCTCGGTTCGACTCCGTCGAGTCGAGAGATGCAACTGCACAAGAAGGTGAACAAACAGTAAACACACGCTTTCCTCGTACACATGTTCAGACAGTACGCCTACGTTGTAAGTTAAATTGCGACACGTGTTCCACGATTGTCTCCTGCGCTTACATTCGGATTCCTTCATTTCACGAATGACCCACTCGACATTCCGCTTCATAATTTTCCTAGTAACAGCGCACGCTTTCGCCGGCAGAGCTTTAACGGGAAACTTACATAGACTAACGAATCTGCATTTCATCACCACGGCGTTGTACAAGTCCCTCTTAACTGTACAGAGTTTGTCCAGGCACGACTTGCACTTGACCGACACGTGCGTGGAGTAAAATTCATCTCTGTTCATGTGTACAAATTCATTAGTTCCAGCAAGACGCCAGTGTCGAGCAAACGCTCGAGCGTGCTCTTGTCGGTGTCCAACTGTCCACGCGCTTTTCCCAGTAAGCGAGCACAGACTCGAATATCTCCGCGGCGCTGATCGCATTCCATCGAAGACCTCCCGCGTATCCGTATTTCCGCGCAACGTTCGTGTCGCGGTCGACAATACTTTGTATACTTTTGGCACTGTCGCCGACAATACCCTCCATCGGCACTAAAAGGGTCGTGCACAAGCTGCGAAATTGTCGAAAGCACTGCCGACATTCCTCGTTCTCTGCCAGAAGTGTCTCGAAATAACTCAACAGTTCCAGAGCACATATAATATATAATGTACAGCAAATGTTTCAATATAACCTAAAAAGTACAAGTACATGCTGTATGAATTTTTGTATTATAGTATATGTTTGAGATTCCTTCAGGTATCTCATTTGGTACTACCCTCGCCATCTCACGGCCATTCTTAAGGCCCAGTGGGACCGCGTGCTCGATCGCGCGACGGGCTATCAAGCGCGTGACCGGCACGTGGCCATCGCTCCTGGGCTTGCGCGCAAGCTTAGCAAGACCAAGAGTAAGACACAGTCGTTGAAAGTTCGCTCTGGGAGACGGAAGTCTCGTGCTCACAATTACGGAAACGAGTTCTAATACAGTGCTCGTTAGCTCACCAGGGACAGCCTCACAAGTTCAGTGCACAATTCGAGTGAATCGGTGTTCTGCGCAAAGGCCTCTCACTTTGTAAGTGCACGCTTGCTTGTAGCCGGCCTCCGGCTCAACTGGCGGCACACCCCCGACGGTCTTGTGCGAACAAGAGAGCTCGACGGACTCGCTCACCCAAATTCTACACCAAGTAATTGTAAATAGTGTACATACAATTAAACAGTCATCTCATTTTAAGAAACGGTATTGGAGTCATTCTCGCCACGTTGCACGTCCTTTTTCACCCCCCGATCTACTCGCAGCGCTCACGGAGATTTCGCGATCATTCGATCTCATGACGAGATTCGAATATGAGGAAATTTCCCAAACAGTATATATTAAAAATGCAAATGATAATAAATTGATAATCTATACTTACGTATGTATTATCAATGTTCTCTAATAATCTCTCTCAGAGATAAACCTGAGAGCCACGCCGGCGTTTCACTCTGCTGAACGCGGCCGTTATGAGATCTAACTGGTGACATCTTTCGGATGTCGGATTGCAATACAATCGAAAGATATCTTCTGGACAACTTTCATAGAGATATTTTAGATAACAAGAAATTGATAACTTTCTGATGTCTTAAAATAGATATCTATCAGATCAACTAATATGATAACTTTCAGATAACAGTCTTTTTCTTTGTTAAGATATCATAAAAAAGACACCTTTAAGACAACAGTAAAATAGATACCAATTTTAAGACATACATTGGTTATCTTATAGTAAAATCGTAAAGGCAACCTTAAAGCGTTAACTTATAGGCACCAAATGGGCATTAGTGCTACCTGGGTAACCGCGACCGCGATCTGTCACCGGCAAGCAGACAGTACACCGCGCCGACACCGAACATACCGCGCCTGCGCCGCCTGCAGTGTACCGCCGTACCGCGCCGAGTCCGAGCAAACCGAACCGCGTACGAACGCACCGGCCCGAACCGATACCACCGCGCCGCCGCCGACCGTATCGACCAATAAATCATCGCCGCGCACAGATTATATACCTTTCGAAGCGCTCGTGCGCCAGATCACGTTAGCGAACCGCCGCCGTCAGAACGGCAATAGTTTACAAGGGTAATTGTAAGTTAGTTATAAGCGATACATGTAGTTTAAGTGTAAATATATTCTAGTAGTTAAGATTACACCTGACTCTCTCTCTTTTCGAATTGCCCACCGCCAGACCCTCGAATTCCCACGGCTATCCGTTGCACAGAAGTTACATATTCGAACGGTCACAAATTAAAAATGACTAGATGCGCAAATAAGTTTCCAGGTTTCATTGATTAATGAAAAATGGAAAATTTCAAGAGTAATAAAAAAAATAATTTAATTCTGAGCATAAAAAGAATTGTGAGGTAAATGCAGTCTTATCCGTCGTGCAGATGTACGGCTATTGTACTAATAATATAAATTATTATATACAATATATCTTCCTAAATGAACGCGTCCGAAGCCACGTCCGCGTCCTCGACAAAAATTTTAATTTGGGTTGAACATATTGTTACGTCCGGCTCCACACAACACCTCGCGCACCTGCACACTCGTCGGCTCGACTTTCGCTCGCGGCGCACGCCACCGGGCCGCGAAGAAATCAACAAGGATTGGAAATCAACAAGGAAATTTTATTCGCTAAAGAACACACGTCTGTACTCTCGAAGAGCCCAGAGACAAAATCAGAAAATTAATAAACAACAATCGCGCATCGGTCCTTCGCGACCGATCTTTTAATCCGCCGCGACTTCAGCCCGCGGCTGGCGCACATTCTCAGGGCGTCGCATCCGAGCACGGGCGTAACAATATTATCATATTCAAAAACTCAACCTTAGATAATGCGATTTCCGACAATAATGTAACTTTCAAAAGCACATAACTCCGAAAGTACCTAATGAAAATATACTTTATTATAGTGTTTTGGAAAGCTCTTACGGTAAGCAATAAGAATATGCATTAAAAAAACGGGTTTCCCTTTAAAAATTTCAAAGTGATCTTTACGTGACCTTGAGCAAGCTGTTCAAGGTCATATTTATATTACTATGTAATGCATTGCTTGAAACCGTACAACTTTCATGTTTAACATTTTTCTCCAGCTTACATATTTAAAAAGTTATTTAGAGTTACCTTATAAGGATACATACATACATACATACACACATACACACATACATACATACCGACATTTTTTCTGACTGTGATTTTTGGACGTTTTGGAACATTCTAAACATGTTTTCAAAGAAAACTGGAAACAAATTTTTTCATAAAAACAAAGCTTCCTCTATGAGGAAGCAATGGTTTATTTGAAGTATCGTCCCTCGCTAGCTACACATTTTTGCCATCTCTCTGGCAATACATGAATACCGCGACGATAAAACGACATGTTTTTGGACCGAAACTATTCATCCAACCAATTTTGCACTTCTTTGAAATTGGCCAAGTGTAGCCCAGCCAAGCCATGCACCATCGATCGGAACAAGTGTCGGCCTAATCGGCCAAGTGACATGACGTATCAATGACGAAGAAAATCTCATGGTCATTTTTATATGCATTAGCGATTAATTTTGTGATTACTTTGTCAACATATTTGATATTGCTCTGTATAATGTTAAAATAACAGTGTTATCAGGCAAACCAAGAATCATTCTTAAAAACTTGTTTTATATAATTTGAAGTCTTTCTAATAAATTTAAATGTACACGAACTGCAGCAGTCTCCACAGGAGATGCATAAAGTAATGCAGGTCAAGCACACACTTTATACATTAAGAATTTTATGAAAACATTTAGTAAATTGCTCAAATCAATCATAAGACACCACCCAGATAACAATTCTTGCGCGCAAATTTTGCTTGTCTTACGCATGCAAATTTGTATGCGATTTGCCCGAGTTTTGTCCGTAAGATATGTTCAGTCTGTGCTTTTGCACGCAAGTGGCTAGCTCGTGTATCAACGTATAATTTTGCGCGCAAATATCTATCGACTCGCGTATAAAAATGGCTCAACAGCGCAAGCAAAATTCTATCCAAGTGTGTCGTCGTAATGCCAGATGTTTGCGCGCAAAATGTTTTCTAGGCAGGTTTTAAGGATTTCAAAAGACTTACGAAATGCAATCATGTATGGCAAGTCTCTATCCGAGACTAACATTCAAAATAATACCTACGTATATATCAGTATCACTCCAAGGAATGGCATGGTTCAATATCTTAATCAATAGAGGCTCAAATGACAATGTCCAGATGGGCCTAACGTGGTTCACAATAAGAATATTATTGTAATGAGACCGAAGAGTAGAGTCTAAATATATCACTCCTTCTGATTTAAATGACTGGGATTGAGAGTAATGACCCTTTTTATATTATGACTGAAAAGTAATTTTTTAACCGTAAAAATAGATATTAAATAACTCTACATGTTGTGTAGAGGTATTGAACGTATGTGATATAAACTATTTAAGAACTGAAGTTTCACAAACGTTATATAAGGCACTTAGTCTGTATAACCATATGTCCACCGTTGCCGCGTGGAAGCATGTCTTATAAAAGGTTATGACTACTTCGAAGGTTTGCAAGTCCTTCCAGCACCAATCAGTCATTATGGCTCATCCGGGCTAGGCTTGTAAAGCCCTTTCAGCACCAACCAGTCACTACAAGCTGGTGCAAACAAGGTTTATCAAATTCTCTCAGC